GTGGGGGTCTGTGGGCCGGGGGGCTTATCTGAATCTGGGTGCCCCCTTTCATAAAGAGATCTCGCCTCTCCTTGTGAATGAGTAAGGGGCAGTTGTTACTCCTACTCATTCACCAAATAGTAATTAAAATAGTAAATAAACACATCACGCCGTGAAAATGTCCTTTATTAGAAAAAAAAACCCCACAAGACAATTTTTGACAATTCCAAAAAATGTCCATCGATGTAATCTAAAGGTAGATCATGTCGTCTAGCGATGTCGATCCACGGCAATCACAAAGAATGACGGCTGCTGACTCACCGAAAAAAACAAACCTGACGCCCGCTGACACCGGCCGCAAAATGACAGGCCTGAACTGAATGTAAACAAATGGGTGGAGCGAGTTGTGATATCATGGGACCTTGTTCCTCCTATTTGTTGACATTCGGGACCAGACCTGTCATATAATAACAGGTCTGTTCGGGTCTGGGAGCCGAAATATTGTTATTAATAATATGTCAACAAATAGGTGGAACAAGTTCCATGACATCACGACTCGCTCCGCCCATTTGTTTACATATCTGTCAGACCTGTTATTTTGGTGCTCGTCGGGATCGGACGGGTCGGCGGACGTCGGGTGTTTCTTCTTTTGGTAATTCGACGGCTGTCGTTCATCATGATTGACATGGATCTACATCGCTAAACGACATGATTGACAATGGATTACGTTTATGGACACTTTTTTTTTTTTTTTAAAGGATTTGTCAAAATGAGTGCATACAAAGATCTCTGATTCCAAATGACTGAATTAACCATGAAAGCTTAAAAATATTAATATTGTGCCGCACTCGTACCCCTAAGTACTTCCATGATAATTAGGCAACACTCTTATGATATCGTGCTAATTTGCAAGTTTATATATCTAATCAGGATCCACATAATTATTAGTGCAACATTGACATATAAAGTGCAAAAAGTGCATAAAAAGAGTCCACTGGAATAAATAGACTATAAGTGCAGTGCTATAAAATGATGCGCCCCAATCCAGAGCGGGTATTCAGCAAAGACACGATCCTCCGTGCTTCTGTGACTATTTACCATCCACTCCCCATAGAATAACTCTCACCTCAGGAAGCAACCTTATGTTATAAAAGGTCTGATCCCTCTTTCAATCTTGGGAGGGGTGAAACCCAATGCTGGCAATAGACAAATCCTAAATCCTCCTCCACTCTGCCTGCGGCTTCTGTGTACAGTTATCTCCAATAGTGACTCACTTGCTGCGCTTCCACTCGGTTTAACGATTTTAGCAAGCGGAAACAAAAACGGGAACACTCCATAGTGTACTCCATAAACCACATTCAAATGTTTATAGGATAATAATGTACTCACAAACAAGAAAGAGGAAAACGCATAAAAGTCAGATAAAAAAATCTCCTGGTACAGATAGCAGCGCTGCCCTTTTTCAGTATATTCCCAAGGCCCTTCTCTACCTACGTTACGTCTTAGTTACACGTGACTTCATCATGGGTGAGAAGCTGGGAGAACGGAACACATTAGAAAGATATTCTTCTCCTGGGAGACGGTAAATAAGTCGTGGAAGAGCTCTGCACCTTTAACTCCTACCTCGCCACTGACTTCCCACACTGTTACATGTTGTGCTCCCTTCATCGTGTGGCAGGTATATCGCAGTGGTGGGTGTCGTTTGGAGCTATGCCCCTTTGTTTTCATTTCATATAATTTAATTTAAAATGCCCCAACCTCTTCTGGATAAGTGTAATCCATCTGAATATACTCTGTTAGTACCTATTAAAAATACGGCAAACTGGACAAATTCATATATAAAGAATAATGACACATAATAATCATACAGATGTGTAATAAACCCCCAATTAACAAATGTAAGAATCACTGGTGTAACAATTCAGCTCAAAACCTACAGTACATTTAACCCCTTGGGTGCCCGAGTTCTGGCTTTGTACACTGAGTGGCCAGATTATTATGACCACCTGACGTTTTTAGGCAAATTAGCTATAATTTGGCGCTGAAGTTGCTAGAGGGCCAGACCATTATAAATAGGGAAGCAGGTTGTTTACCACGACAGTAGAAGTGATTTTTTCTGAAGATACGGGTAAACAACGCGATTTAACAGCCTTTGAACGGGGGATGATTGTTGGCGCTCGGAGCCATGGAGCGAGTATTAGCAAAACAGCAGAATTCGTTAAATGTTCAAGAGCAGCTGTTGTTAAAGTGTTTAAAGACCGGACTGTCAGCCGAAAATCTGGGTCTGAACGTGGGAATTGTGGCCGTCAGCGACTAGTCAATGTTAGGGCAGAACGGAGAGTGGCAAGACTGGTACAAGACAACAGAAGGACAACAGTGCAGTGTCAGATTCCTCGCATCACCTTTCAACATCTCATAGAGTCAATGCCAAGAAGAATCGCTGCTGTATTGAAGGCAAAAGGTGGCCCAACGAAGTACTGATGGGGTGGACATAATAATCTAGCCACTCAGTTTATATCCACTCGGTCTCTTTCATAGCTAATCTACGTTTATAGTTGCCCACTCTCTAATGTTTTGGAATAGGTTGTACCCCACCAAAATTGTAAAAACTTGGGATTTTTATTAAGAAATCTGGCGTAGTGTAGGGATACCGAGTGATCCTTGTACCCATGTTTAATATTGAATGCATGTTACGTGTGGTGAATTTTCTGGTTGTGCATCCTATGTATTAGAGTCCGCAAGGACACTCCACAGCATACATTACTCCTTCTGTGTCACAGGAAATGAATTCCCTAATGGTGCCTTGTTCCTTCATTACCGAATGTATAACATTATTTCCTGCGTCTGCTATTTTTAGTACAGAATGTGCATCCATGACACCTCCCATGGGTATGAAAACCTGTCAGGTCTGGAAACAATGTACAAATCTTTTTATTATTAGGTGGCTCTACTACACTTTTAGCAATAACATGTTTTACATGATCCGCTTTTTTATATACTATACATGGTTTACTGGGAAGAATTTCTTACAGTTGTGTGTCTAACAATAAGACCTGCCAATGTTTTTTAATCATTTTATCCCCTGTTTTATACTGATTGTTAAAACTAGGAATGTCCAGATACCAGTGCGAATACTTGGCATTTTCATGAGAACTACCGGGGGTTACAGAGGTTGCAGCTGGGACCTGGCTCTGGCTCTCCACCACTGTCCTGAAATCATTAGTCTGTATTGTTTTAGAAAAACTGTCACCTGACAATAAACAAAAATATATTAGTACTTGTATCTGTGAGTACTAGAGGTGCACCGAAATGGAAATTTCAAAACCGAAACGAAACCCAAAATGTTTTTCATTTAAATTTTTTCACATTTTGTAAATATTTTATTTGTATTTATTTTTTATAAACATTTTAATTAATTAATTATCAGGGACACAGAGCAGCGCCCAGCGGGGAGGAAAGAAAGCAGGGATGCGCCGCTGTATTGGCAGAAAAATGGCAC